GGCCCCTATTATACAACTCAATTTTCGTAACGTAGTATTCAAATAAAATACAAATTCTATTGTAATCTCATTATATACAATAATGGATCACATGTAATATAGGTGAACAATTCTACTAGAAAAATTGAAAGTAAATAGAATGTATCTAAATATAAAAAAGATAATCTCCTCTTAAATAAACCAACAATGTTTTGCGGCAATTTTTAACATCAACTTAAGATTTTATTTTCTTGATAAATAATTGAAGAATTTTAACACATTCATCAGTGAATTTTATATGGTGTTTTTCGATACTTAGAATGAGCAAAACAAAAATTAATGGATTTAGACAAAACACAAAATACCGAATGACTTCAAAATCCGTGAACATTTTTCATCCTTTAATAGACAATTTTGCTTAGTTTAATTTGTAATGGATATAATGTAGGCAGAAAAAAAAACAAATGCCTATAAGATAGCAAGGGACACAAAAGACCGCTTGGGGCAATCATTCTGGTCAGTGTCCGCGGGGAATACGCATCGTCTCTGTATATATGTACGCACAGTAATGCGCATATATGCTGACCCTATACGCATTTGGAGCGTTTGTTGCAGGCAACTCTTTGTTTCAGGCATCAAGATATATGTGGGATTCTACTCCAAAAACATATAAAGGAAAATTAACAGCAGTATTTTGAAGTTCGATATTTGTAAAAGTGAAATGGTAAAAAAACACGATTGGTTTACACTATTTATATTATTCGAACTACTATCCTCTTTTTCGCCATATTTATTACAACGTTTCGGCCGTCGTACGCTCCGGCCTTCTTCAGGTGGTTGGAATGTCGAACTGAACCCTTTATTTCGCTTACAGGGTAGACTGTTCTAGTTCCACGTGTCATGTTTTAACAGATGTCAGTTATCTCCTGTTAATTCCCCCCTCCAAGTTCTCCACAGCCTTAAATTGAACTCACACTCTTTGCGTCCTGTCACTGGATCTAACCAACGCCTTTATCCACTGTGCCATGTGTCCTTGGCTGATAGTTTAAAAGCTGATATTTACCTTTCCACCTCTCATTAGCTAACAAAAAGGGCTGTAAGCAACAAGTGATAAAAAGAACGTTAAAGTGATCAACATTTCTTGAGGCAGTTTCAAAATAACAAATGAAATTTAGGTAGATAATTTGATAGATTGGATACATGTGGAAAAAGACTGTGCCTACAATTTCGCTATCAAAATGTTCAGAAGAAATAAAACTAACTTGATTGTTTGTTCGAAAAAAGGTTTTATGTGATTAGAAAATGTATATTTGAAGTGTGAAATTGAAAAAAAAAGTTGTTGTTGATATAATTACTTGATACATATGTTAAAGTTCACGGAGTTGAAACGTTCAAGCCCATAAAATAGATGTGCGAAAAATCATGTTTTAGTGTGTGTAATATAGTCATATTGACGTCAAAATGCTTTGCTGATAAACGAAGCTAAGAATTCTTAACTTTTTTTTTTTTTACAGATTTGAAGAATGGTTATTTTAAGAAGTTTGACTATTTATATTGGTGGAAAATAGTACTTGCTTTATTCTGACTATTTGGATTCCATTTAAAGTTTTAATGTCTGTTTCTCATGTGTTTTTATTTTTTGTTCTGAACCATTTTTTTTTTTTTTTTTTTTTTTTTTACCGAAGCAAATTTTACTATTTTTGTATGGGAAATTGATAGTGTTCATTTCTGATGTTATAAGCATCCGGAAAAAAGTAAATATATCTCCTTTCAAATGGCGTAATTTGGAAGTTGTAGAAGACATAATAAAAAATATAACATATCGAAAACAAGAGCAATTACAAACACATGAATATTTCTCGCTAGAATTTCTCTTGCATATTTATAAGTCTACCATTCATCCATGCTTCGGATATTGCTACCACATCCGGTCTGATGCTCCTGCTATATATTTAGAAGTTCTAAGATACAAAGAATCTGCAATGTTATTAGTCCTGGCCTGACATCTCGGTTTCGGCCATTTTCCTACCGCTGTAACGTAGCTTCCCTGTGCACTTTTTTTAGAAATATGTTCATGGTAATTGTTCTGATGAATATTTCTCTGTGATACCTAGACTTAAATTTAAGAGCACTTATTGACTGGCGCTAGATCTCACCATTTTACGGTGGAAATGGCTATATGTAACCGTAAGTTCTATGCTAACAGTTTCTTCTCTCGCACTTTTTGCTTGTGGAACGCTCTGACGGCCTCTTGCATCTAAATCCACTTCGATCTTCTGTCTTAATTCCTTTTCTTTTATTGCTCTCTCTCTCTCTCCCAATGTTTCTCTTCCTCATATTCTCTAACACTCAGTAACTACCTGCAACTTAATCCAAACAAATTACCAAATCGCACCTGTTAGAATAGACGAAATAGAATAATAATAATGATAACAAAAAACAAAACAAAAAACAACGAACCCAAATAGAGAAAGTAAATAATAAACAAAGTAGCAAACCATTATGACCAAAATATTAGTTAGACTAAAAAAAATCAAACCAAAAAATCGGACGAAAAAAATAGCGATAACTGTTATATAACGATAAAAAAATAAAATTAAAATAAAATTAAAATAAAAATAAATAAATAAATACGACGTTGCTTAAAAATCGAAAACCGAAAAGAGAAAATATACAAGTAAAATAAATTGACCTAAATTCATCCAAGTAAATAAATAAACAAACCAATCCCGATAAAGTTACCGTTAGAAAAAACAAATAAAGATAATCAACCCAAATAAACACAAATTAAAAACTGTTCCTGCCAAAATAATAGTTAGAATAAACTACAAGAACCAACCCCAAAACCGAACAAATAGCTTTAATTAAATTCTCAAACCAAACCAAAACTATTAAATAAGTGATATAAACAAATTTTTACTACGTTAATAAAAACACCGATTAAAAAATAAGTAAATAAATAAATAAAATAAGAAACTAAAAATAAAATTAATTAAAAACAAGCAAAATAATTTAACCCAAATAAATAAATGACTTCCGGTAAAATAACCGCCATAATAGACTACCCACAATGCACCACTGACCCGTATATGTATAAATAGCCGAGAAAAATAACAGCACACGTGGCCTGACGATTTCATATAGCATGAAACAGACTGTCGCCTCTAAGTGTTGACTTCTATGTTCACTTTTATATTTACACACGCTCTATCTCTGATATTGAGCACTTTATCCCATAAATATAGCAAACCTTAAGACTATATTTCTTCATATATATATATATATAGATAGATAGATTTAGGTTTACAATAAGGAGCTGTGCGCCGATATATCTATTCAAATATCAATCCATTTAGAGCTAAGGCCAGCGTTTCTGCGACCACTGAGTCCTCTTCAATCGCTTCACATCTTATTGCTTCTTTATTTCAGTTGTAATGAGGAAATCCCACTTAGATATTTGTCGGAAGAATGCGCAGTTTTGTTCAGCATCCTACCGCGGTGATGCTTCCCCGAAATATACAATCTTCTTTTATCGTGTGTGCGTGGACATAGGAAACATAACTGCCTGGTTACTGTCAATCACACGTCTCTGTGGGATTTTAAGACCAAGTGCCAAGTCTTCTCTACCGGGATTTATATATAAGCCACTGGAGGATTAATTGAAGTAGAGAAAGGCGGGAATCGACGGCTCGTCTTATTTCTCTTGCTGTGGGCGAATACGGAGTTATTTACCGCCTCGTAGGTAGTGTATATATATATATATATATATATATATATATATTGTGTTGGACAAAATGTTCGTTCGGTTTATTAAGTAAATTTCTATCTGAAAACCGAATTACCATTTTGGACAACCTAATACATATAATCTCTTCCCCCATCTATAAAAAGCTCATATACATTATGTGAGCGTCCATTTGTAGCGAAATACTTACCATACCGATCTTTTAGATTAGAACGCAGAAAAACTGTGACGCCTCATACAAGTGGTCTAAGTCTAAACTAAGCTTCTCTGAATAAATATATATTTGTAAAAAGAGATATGCGCTCAGGCACGCGCGCATACAAACAAATACACACACACACACACACACACATATATATATATATATAGAGAGAGAGAGAGAGAGAGATTAGAGAATTCGATTTTTCACTTACAGTGGCCTGGTAACTTGCCTGGAATTTATTTGAGGAAAAATGATATTTACATACGAATGAATTTTTTAAGAAATCAGTATAATTTCCGAAAAAGAAAGAAAAAAAAATATGGAAGACGAAAACGGTTAGAACTTTGAAACAACTTTATCATTATTTTTTCAGAATTTTTCTGTTTAATTCATCTGATTTTTTTTTTTATTTTGTCAAATATTTAAATCGAAACAAAACGTTCAAGTCGATTCATTGAGCCAAAATAGGAATACCTAGTCAGGCGCCCATCTTGGACGGCAAGGATTATAAGAAGACGATAAAATTGACCCAGCAAGACATTTACTTTTAGCTTCATAGTATTTTCTTCATAAATACATTACTAGATTTATATCGTCTGATAATATATATATATATATATATATATATATATATATATATATAATGTGTGTGTCTGTTTTGTGCATTTATTTATATTTTAATGGTATATATTTGTATACTATTTAAGATGTTATGGAAGTCAACCAATGCTTACAATTTTTTTCAAGATGTACATATACTTGCAATACATCCTATGAGATATATGTGTGTGTTTTGCTTGGGAGATTGATATGTTCTACGGTTTATCAATCTTTTTCAGGTTATTTAAAGCCATAATATACTTTTAAATTGTAGGAATTTGGCGGGGAGGCAATAATGATTTACTGATAGCAATCCTACTTATTTATTCATAGCTCGTAGAGGAAAAGAAGTGGATTCTTAGCCTTCCCAAGGGTATCTACGCTTAGGTCAATATACTGAATCCGATTGGAATTGGATCTTGGCTCTCTGATTTCTCCTTTCCGAGTTGTTATCCATGACACCAGCCGCAAATTTACTGCACCTGGTGTTTCCAATTGCTCACCCATATAGGTACTGATCAAACTCGACGTTGCTTAACTTCAGTGATCGTACGAGAACCGCTGTTCCAACATGATATGACCATAAGCTGTATATATCGGCTGTAACAGCAAAATTGTCCAATTGTTAAATTAAGATTTGAACCTTTGTATCTTAGAAATGATTGAGTGAATAATACTGGAATTCTCCGAGGTTTTTATAACACGATTGGACACTATTTTGAACAATAAGAATGTATTTAACTCTGAGTTGAAATAATGAACCTTCTTGCTGTTGTGACCTCCTAATCCAGTTTTTCTCTCTACTGCTCGCTTTATTTTCAACTTATTCACCGTTCTCTTGATGGTTCCCGAATGGACTTTGAAGATGGATGCCAGAATATGAATGTTGGCACCATTACTGAAGGCCTGAATGGTTTTTTCCTCTCATCATTGCTTAGTTGGGAAGACATAGTAGGGCTGACACAAAACGAGTTTAACCTGCTCTATTTCTCGCTGAATAAAGGGGTTTTTAAAGTGATACTTACGACAAATAATTTCAAAATGGCTAAATGTCTTATCTGAAAACCTGGGAAAAAAAAGAAACTGAAATAGTGTAGATTTTGGTTGTTTTTTTGTTTTTTTTGTTTTTTTTTTTAATATTAAATATTTTGTGGGATGGACAATTATTACATACTATTTCACCATTTGGACACTTTTGCTGTTACACTCGGTATATTGGATTTATTTGTATATGAATATTTATATTGAACTTTCGATAAGATTTTCACCTACCAAACAAATCATTATGAATATTTTAATATATTTTTAAAAAATGAACAGAGGATAACAAAAAGACACTGCTAAGATCTAAAAGGATAGAAAGATGTGTAGAGTCTCAATAGGTCAAGTCCTGATGGGACACTCTGCATAAAAGAAGAATTTACCAAGATAATTCATACTCTGTTTAAAATTGTTAGTATATTTAAAAAAACGTTATTCTCTCTTTGCTTTAGTTTTTGTTTGCACAAAATCCATTCTATCAACTTATGATAAGACCAGTTTTGTATTGTAGAATCTAATTTCTTTTTGCTCTCTTCTCTTGGAATCTTTCCACACCTAAGACAATACACATACTGCAAACAACTCTATCTATCTAGAAGTATATCGTAGATTTTATAAATGTGGTCCAGTATAGAAAAATGAAAATGTGAAAGAACTAGTGATAGGAATGAAACGTTGTCCATCCACCGGAGGGAATTTCGCCCTTTTTACCCTAAAACACGGCATTCGAATTGCTGACGTTTAATGTCGGCTTCAAAACTGACATCTGGTGAGAGATAATTATTTCAGTCACAATGCAGTTCAGATATTCCTTCTATCTTTGAGTTGATCGGCGCCGTTAAGTTGTAACGTTGAGCATTGTAAATGTTTGAAATGATGACCAAGTAAAAAGCTTTTTTTTTTTATTTTCATTTGGAGAGAAATTCGGAAATAAAATACATGAAGCTGACAAAAGAGTGAGATCGACTCGACCAAATTGTAGTTTCTTCTCACGCTCTCCAAGGAAAAACAAATTCTTTTCTTCTTACTTCATTTAGTGCAGTGGTTCCTCTCGTTCAGAGGTGCAATGCAAGAGGATAGCAGGTGAGGGGAAATGATTAAAAGACAATCAAAGATTTAGAAACAGTTTCAAAAAATTTATATGCCAAAAATAAATGATTTCAACATTTGAAATATTATAGGTTACTTGAAATTTCATGCACTAATCCCAGTATAAATAGTTATAAACAATTATTGACCGATTTTAACATTGTGATATTTTTGCATTATGTCAAGTATTAAGAATATTGTAAATAGTCTCCGCAAGTTGGAGGAGAGAGTTATCAATGATAATGTTCTGACTTCGAATTTACGGTTATCAATGATCATGTTCTTGACTTCGAATCTACGGTTATCAATGATCATGTTCTTGACTTCGAATCTACGGTTATCAATGATCATGTTCTTGACTTCGAATCTACGGTTATCAATGATTATGTTCTGCGTTCGAATCTACGGTTATCTCCGTTTAATCCTTTTTCTGTTTTTTTTTTTTTATTTCAAAATGTAGTTTTTATCACATAAAATTTGAAGTGCGAGCAAATTTTCATTCCTATAATGTTGCCTCGAGAAAAAAAACACTGTGAACCACTGAAAGTGAGTGAAACTTGTGGGTCTTGGCAAATGCCACCCTTCTTCGAACTTTGTGAACTGGCACTGCAGGATCACAAAGAACTTTACTTACTAAAAAAAACATCATTTGAGGACTTTCAATAGTAACAAGAGCTAAAATAGATACCCCATGTACTTAAAGAGAAAATAATGGCACAATCAAGAGACTAACGTTTCACTCGACTTCAAATAAAAGGATTGAAAGGAAACACCCTTCCAATACTGGAAAGAGCAATAACAACTACTGAACTTGGAAAACCCATTTTCCTGAAAAATTGTTTTGAAGAGAAAGATTTTTTTGTATTTCAAACGACAGTAGTACTGTCTTCTGAGTCAGTGAATAATGAAACGGCTGATATAACCATTACTATTATTTTAGTTTTTTGCATTTTCCGATATACTTATTTCTGTTTAAAAATATAATACCTGCTTCATAGCTGAGACAGATATTTTCTTATTGGCATCAGATGTAGAGGATCGAATATGGATGAAAACCTAGAATTTTGGATGTTCATTTTCAAGGCAGACGTATTCGTTTGTAGAATTGTTTTACAGTAGACTTGTATTCTGTTTTCACTTAGTTGGTTCTCTTTGTACCGGATTAAGCAAATATAAATTTGCAGAGAGCCTCTATCAGTGTATGAGAGATGATATTATAGCTATGTTATTTTTCTAATTTGAATAGGCATGAGAAACAAAAACGCAAGTAGAAATATCTCCGATTTTAATACTAATGAATATGTTTTACTAAATATAACCTCTGCCTCACCTTAGGCGAAGAAATACTACTACTGAGAGAAGAGTAACGAGCCAGTCATTATTTACAGTCGAAGACCTCATAACCGTACATCAGAGTAGAGTGGATATAATATGGCATGTGTAATGTAACTATTACAACAAAGCAACATAACTTATTGCAATATATGAAAGATTAAGTGTTTCATGAAAGTAAATATTAATTTTTAATGTTTAGTGCTCAATGAGTTTTATTTTCAATTGTCTTTCTAATTTCTTTCCTCATTTCGCTTACTTTTTCTAGTTATTTTTTTTAAGTAAAGCATTTCTGCAAATTACCTGTACTTGTACATTCTGTAATACTGAAAAAAGATTTTCTCCATGAAGTGGATGAGCACATCAACAGCTTTCTTTACCAAGTCCCAATTTTCATCATCTTTCATATTTTCATCATTACTTGATTTTTCTTCTAATTCTTGACGATCCAAATAATTTTGAAGCTATTTTACCGTTGAATTCTTTATAATTCATTAGCGTCTTAATGTATCAATTCTTTTAAGCCTTCTGAAGTGAGAGTATTCAGTAGATCATCTTCAAGCGAAAATTTTAGTGTTTCGTTCAGATTCTGCAATCCTTGTTTGTTAATTTGCAAATTCAACGTGCTTTGTGCAGTTTATATATATATATATATATATATATATATATATAAGGTTCGAATTCTAGTCGAATCCATTACATTCACTTTCATGCTAATACCCTTGGAAAAGATGTGAATCTTCTTCTCCCTCCAGCTATGGGTAAATAGCAGAACAGTCTGGGTTCTATAGCGTTGGATGGCAACTGGTCTAGAAGAAGGATAACTCTGCATTCAAAACCTGTGGAGGGTCGTTTGGGGACCCTGTGGCACGTAGTGCACCAGGTGTCTGTATTCGGCCTTTCAAGACGTGTGGATGGTCCTTCATGAAACCTTCCCCACCATAATCAAATCTCATGTGCTGTTGTCGGTTTCCTAGGAACTGATCTGTTTGACTCTCATAAGTTTATTGAAATAAAATGTATTTCAATCTGAGATATATTTTATCTCTATATACTTAATAATACCACTAACAAAATTTATAATATTAATAATAATAGTAACCATAACATTGTACATCAAAATAAACAATACTATGAGCATATACTATTGTAAACAAATGCATAATAATTACAAACAGGAGGAAACAACACTCAAAAACATAATAGGTAGAAATGTTAAACCCATTAATAATAATAATAATAATAAACAAGCTCATCGTATATTCTTAAAAAATTAAAGCAAATGATCTTATATTCGCCAATCTGCACAACTGTATTACAAATGTAATGTAACAATTTATATGCACTTCAAATATTGTATCTCTGATGCTAATAATAAATCCATTACATAGATTGGTTTTACAACAACCACATTCTCTCGTAGTCTTACCTGTCACCTTTCTGATTTTGGTTGCATTAAACAACATTTATTAGAAAAACGTAGCTCTGTATGTCTTTACTTTCCCTTGAAACTAAAGCCATTATAGGTCGCATAATATATATTTGATTCTGTTATATTTAACAATATATGTTTGAAAAAAATCTGCGTGTGTATATATATATATATATATATGTATTTGCTCGTTTATAATTTAAGAGAAGCAAAACTACTACAAAGAAAGCCAAATTAGGAAAGAGTCGTTCATAAATAAACACAGATCTCGAAACTGATCGTTTTTTATCTTCTTTGTGCCGTGGACACTAGAAAAAAACAGAAAGAAAAATAAAAGTATAAAGCAGAATACTCGAAGATTATGAAGTCAATATTTATAACATACAATAAAAATAAATTATACTATCTTTTTAACAACACTAACATCTAAAGTATCAAGTCATAAAAAATGAACGAGAGTAAAAAGTATTAAATATTGATAAATGTATGTTGAAACAGTAAAAACAAGACAAATGATCACCAGGATAGTTGTACAAAACAATAAATAATAATACAGAAACCATGGAAACTGTGGAAAATATATCAATGTAACTAATAATAATAGGTGTATATATAAATACAAATTGGGCACTTCGACATGGCGTTAATGATTAGACGGATTATCTCGCCAGATCAGTTCCGACTAGATAGGG